ACCACTGGGCAAGGCCCTGAGGATGCAGTGACTGTTGTCTCCGACGGCGTCTTCCAGAAAATCCGCATGCTCTCAGTCCATCAGGGGTTAGGCACCGGAGACTAAGGTTCCACCTTCCGAATACTATTGCTGTGACCATAATTGAGTAGTGGTGACATTTTACAACACTGCCTTTGTTCTCGAAGTAGTGGCACCCCAGCACTCAGAGGTGACCGAAATGCTGCCTGCAAGAAACCTGACCTTTATCGCTTTTAGGGAAGGATTAAAGAGCGACACGATTCAAAGCAAAATCGAAAACACAGACCGAAAAAGAAAGGGGTGCTGAGGATGAAAAGGGACAGCTGCTATTCAGCCAACGTGGGCAGGCTCTCGACTCGGGAATTTGTTTGCACACTTCCCCGGGCTCCTCGCCGTGGGGTCAGGAAGCAGGAAGCACACATCTCTAAGGAGGAGGCCCGTGGAGGTAGCAGCTGGCTCGAGGCCTCACAACCAGTGAGCACGCTGGATTCAAACCCACGTCTGATTCCGTCGCTCATTCTCTAGGCAGGGACTCGAGCTGGCCGTGAACAGCTTCTTCTGGCACATGAGTAACACAGATCATAAAGGGTTAGACCAGGCCATGATTCTCACAGGGGGAGCAGGAGGCGGAGCTGGACCCCACGGGGTGGTGTGTATTGTGCGACTGTGAATGACGGTGACAGTGGAATGCTAAACCATCTATCCATCTATCCATCCATCCATCCATCCATCCACCCATCCACCCATCCACCCATTCATCCATCTATTCATCCTCCATCCATCCATCCATCCACCCACCCATCCACCCACCTATCCACCCATCCATCCTTCATCCACCCATCCATCCATCCATCCATCCATCCATCCATCCATTCATCCACCCATCCACCCATCCATCCACCCACCCACCCATCCACCCATTCATCCATCTATTCATCCTCCATCCATCCATCCATCCATCCACCTACCTATCCATCCATCCATCCATCCATCCATCCATCCACCCATCCACCCATCTACCCATCCATCCACCCATCCATCCTTCATCCATCCATCCATCCATCCATCCACCCATTCATCCATCTATTCATCCTCCATCCATCCATCCATCCATCCACCTACCTATCCACCCATCCATCCTTCATCCACCCATCCATCCATCCATCCATCCATCCATCCATCATCCATCCATTCACCCATCCACCTATCTACCCATCCATCCACCCATCCATCCTTCATCCATCCATCATCCATTCATCCATCCATCCATCCACCCATCCACCCATTCATCCATCTATTCATCCTCCATCCATCCATCCATCCATCCACCCACCCATCCATCCATCCATCCATCCACCCTCCATCCATCCACCCATCCACCCACTCATCCATCTATCCATCCTCCATCCATCCATCTGTCCGTCCATCCATCCATCACTCCTCCCGGCTCTGCAGTCCTGTGACCTTGCTCCTTCTAATCTTGGCCTATATGACTGACAAACAAATGTTTGGGAAGAAAGCAAAACTCTTTCTTTCTTTTTTTTTTTTATCCTCACCCGAGGACATTCTTCCATTTTTTGTTCAGATAGAGCGGGAGGGAGAGAGAGAGAGAGAGAGAGAAACATCAACGTGAAGGGACACATCAAGTGGCTGCCACCCGCACGACCAACCAGGGCCGGGGACATACTGCAACCGAGGCACGTACCCTTAGCGGGAACCGAACCCGGGTCTCTCTGTACCACAGGCCGACGCTCCAACCGCTGAGCCAAACCGGCCAGGGCAGAAAGCAAAACTCTTTCAACCAAAAAAAACCAAAAATGGTTTATAAAGATATGTCTTTTCCCACGGCAATGCTGGTTGAGCTGATGAACGTAAAAAGTGTGCAGACAAGGGAATTAGGAGATCTTTTTGGGCCTCCTGATAAGTTCCTGAGAAACCTGGCTCCGCGGAGGGGCCATAATGATGACTGTTTTCAGCAGCCTGGATAACAGCTAATTCTCACCCACCGCGTTCATGTTCTCTAGGTCTTCCTGGCCTTGTATCCATAAGCCATTGAAATGTTTTGAGAATTTCAATATCGTCAGACTCAACCACATATTCAGGGCTTTCAGGCACACCAGGTGTTCACTGAATGTTTGTTAAGTAAATAAGTCGACAAAGGAATACAGTGTATACTTAAATGTGCCAAAGAGAAAGAGAGGGAGGGAGGGAAGGAGGGAGAGGGAGAAAGGGCAGACCGAATCCACACAGGGGGCGAAGAGAGAGAGCAGAGACCTGGCTCACATGCCCCTTCGGGCTATGTTGGGTCCCATGCATGTCCTAGTGAGAGCCTCTCACATGGTTGAGTGTGAGACCAATGTCTCAAGCTTTTTATCTTCATACAACGTGGCCCCAACAGGCAGTTTTTCTCCTAGTGACCATATGAAGGGTGATGGCTTCGGAGGCTTGGGAACAACTGGGCTCTCTTGAATGTACTGAGAGATGGCCATTTCAAGGGTAATCTAATCACATGCACTTTCTAGCTGAGATGCTACTCCATTCCAGATCACAGGACTAGATGGTTTAATGATTTCTGGTTAATAACTCGATATTTCCTGATCAGAGGATAGCTGACCCTTGAGTGACTCTTAGTACTGTTCTTCCCCCAAAGGGGCAAAAAGGAGGAGGTTAGAGGTGATATAGCAATGAGTGGAGAGTAGAAAATGTAGCCAAAAAAAAAAGAGAGAGAGAGAGAGAGAAAGGAAAAGAAAATAAATACTGGTGTTTCATCCTCCCCTAAAAATGACGACAGTTAATATTTTGGTGGTTTTCTCAGTTTGCTTTCTGTGTGTGTGTGTGTGTGATTTTGTGTAAACAAATCGGACTGGTGCTGCGCTAAGACCTTTATTCACTTAGTGAAACACTGTGAACGTTATTTCCACACTCAAAGGCACAGACCTGTAATGTCAAAGGAAGACACACCAAGGACTTCCACGAGCTCCATCCTTGATGGGGGACTGTCTGTGGCCCCTCTGAGAGGGCGTGGCCATAGAAGCTGCTGTGCAAATACCAGGACGCCTAGCAGGTGGGACCCAGAGCAGGGGGCGCCTGGCAGAGGCTTGAGAGGGAAGATCCCGGTCCATGACCCGCTCGCCTTCCTGCAGACCACGCCCTCCTGGAGGACCACGCCTTCCTGCAGACCACGCCCTCCTGGAGGACTGCGTGACCTCTCCTCCGGCAACACCGTCCCTCTCCCCACGCCACAAGCCTTGACTCAGGGCGATGCCCACAAATACTTTACAAACAGGTTCTGCGGTTTTAAATGTTATTTATTTTGGGCTCTTGCCTCTAGTTCAGTCAAATGGAAACTCACCCGGCTACACAGATATTAAGAGAATATTTAGGTGTTTTTGTGCAGACCCTTTGAGATGAGGTCAGAGGACACACAAGCTTCCCTGGGCCTAGGAGGCTGCCCTTCTACCTGTGCATGTTGTCTGCTGACCCATAACCCAGAGCTGGCATGAGCCGCCTGCGTAACCTACTCGCCCCAAAGTAGGGGCTCTCGCTTTCCTTTATTTTTATTTATTTCTTTATTTTGTGGTGCATGCCCCCAGTAGGAACCGAACCCGGGACGCTCTGGTCTGCAGGCCGACGCTCAACCGCTGAGCCACACTGGCCAGGGCTCCCGGAGTGAAGTCTCTCGGCCGACCACTCACCGACTGCGTGCAGACGTCTCTCTGAGATGGAATGACGTCACCAAACCAGCATCAAGCACAGCGGACGGGAATGGCAAGACCGTCATCGCTACAAGTGCCAACGGAAGGTGTTCTGCACACCCATCCCACGGGTGCCACGGGAGAATCACGGAGCCGTGTGGCCCCGCGTGGAAACGCCCTGGAGCCACACCGCTGCCGTGCAGAGACGTCACCCTGCGAGGTGCTCCTTCCCGCCTGGCTGTCGTCTCGGGCTCCCTCCTCAAACCCCGGCTGGCCTCACCCGTGTGCTCACAGGACAGCACCGCCAGGCAGCGGCCCGGACGCGCGGAGCAGGGGACGGGATGATTCGTCCTCCCGCGCGGCGTTTCGTGGGCACGCTGCCAGCATGATCGCCCTCCGTGTACTTCCGAGAGCGGAACAGGCTGCCTCCCACCAGCCGTGTGCAGGACAAGTTACCCCAACGCTGCACGTTCATCGAGAGAGAAGAGCGACCCCCACGCATTTCAGCGGGTCGGGGAGGGGTCGGCCTGCCTCTCTCCAGCCCTCCTGCTTACTTAGGGGACGCGAACGCAGCCCAGGTTGCATTCAGTGGAGTGACTTTCTCCCGGTCACGCAGGATCACAGGTCCCTGACAACACAGATGCACTGGGCTCTTGCCCTCTGCTAACTGGCTCTGCAGAATTTACCGGGATGAAAGGGACTGAAATGACGCAGTAATGGCAGATGCTCTGAGCTGACCGGTTAGACGTGGTATCATTTTCCCCAGTACAGCTGAGGCTGAGAACCCCCCACCGAGGACCCCCTGCCGAGTCACAATGACAACAGTGACAACAACTGGACCCAGAGGCTTTCTTGGGAGTCCAGCTTGAATCCAGTCTCTTAGCAGCTGGCGGCGAGGGTGGGCCGGGCGTCCAGGCCCTGGCTGCATTCACTGATGCACTGGCAGCCCACACGCCCGGTGAGCTGACCCCTCCGAGCCCTGTCAGGGGGAGCGTCAGCCCCCAGTCTCCTTCCAGAGGCCCTGACGGTGTGATGTGGTGTTTGCGTGGAGATGTAGCCAGTGCACACTTGCTGGCATTGGGGCACATTCTGCACCACACCCCAAGGTTCTCTCATCTCACCTTATTAAACCACCGACTAGGGATGACGGAGACGCCCTTCCAAAGGTGGGAGAAGAATCTGAACATCTCACCTTCGGAATCAAGGCGAGCTTGTGTGCAGCCGAAAAACCACTGCGCAGACGGCTCAACGAGATGTGTGACAGTGACCGGAGACCGGTCCCCTTACCTTTGTTGCAAAAGGTCCCATCGTAGGCCGTGTTGGAGCAGTCACAGGAGTAGCCGTGGTACTTCTCTATGCATTTGCCTCCGTTCTCACAGTTGGTCCCGTAACTGGTGCAGTGGCCCGAGCACCCGGATTTGAAGCCAGAGGTGACCTTCGCCCTTTCCTCCAGGTCTAGCGTCACCCCGTTCATCCTCAGGGAGCGGATGCAGCCCAGAAAGCCCTGCTGGCCCCCGGCACCACCTGGAAACGACACAAGGTGTGCAGCTCAGTCGGAAGGACCTCAGCGATGGCTCTGATTTCATTCATCACTTGAACAGCTCTGGGAGGGGCAGAGACAGCCACGTCTAGTCAGCTTTCTCACTTTTCACTGGGTCTTGCCGAACAGAGAAAGTCGAGGCTTTTCCCCTTTGGGCTGTAATGCCTAATTAGAAGTGGCTGTCTTCTGAGATGCAATACGCTGACTACGGAAACCGAATGTGTGGAGACACCCCAAAACGACATAAGCTGTTTTGGAAGTCTTATCTGGTTTCCTATAGAAAATAAATTTATAGAAATCTCTAGGTTCTCTGGTCTTTAATCTTGTGTCATTCAGTTCCGGAGCATTGTCTATTGAAAGAATGTAAAAAGGCAGAGAGACATGAATATATGAACATGGTTACCAAGTCAGTTAGTTGGAAGGGATCAGCCCACTTGAAATGTGATGGTAAGTCCTGGTTTTGGCCTCATGAAATGCCTTGCTTTGGAGACCACGGGAAGGGCTCCTGGGGCCTTGTCTGGGGCAGCGGGAAGTTGGAATGAATCATTTTTCACAGAAGTCAACCATGCCACATTTATTACCAGGTCAGGCTGGAGTTCATTGCTTTTGTCTAAATGTCACTGCAAGACAAACAGCAAGTTCGCTTGATTTTCTGAGTAAGTTACAGGGTTAGATGGAGGTCCATGAGCATGAAACTATTAAAATATTCCCAACCAATTTCACAGAAGACGTCACTGAACCATTATATCCAAATGGGTTTAATTGTGTCTGTAACTACCTTAGCTATGCTTTTTATTTAAAAAAAAAAAAAAAAAGCAGTTGGTACAAAAGAAGAAACTCGAGTTCATATACATGTCTATATTTTAGAGTAACGGCTTCTCTGGAAGGTAAATACAATGAATAGCAGTTTAAAATGATTAAACAAAACATGTGATGTGATTTAGAAAAACGATACTGTTAGTAACATAAAAGCGACTCTTTTATCGAAGGCTGTGTAGTAGGCACTCGACCACATGCCTTACAGATGTTCATCACCCAGTCGTCACGACGACCTGGCCAGGTAGGCGTCTTATTACTACAGCCATTGTACAGATGAGAAAACCGAGGCTCAGAGAAACTCCGAAGTGAACTCAGAGACTCAAAGCTCCCAAGGGGCCACATTGTGTCAGCTCTGCCTTGTCCTCTCGTCTACGGTCTTAATTATTCTCTCTCCGTGTTGACAGCCTGTAGTGGAAGAAGGGCCCCATGGTCAGGCCCCGCAGATGTCGGTGTTTCGGATGTCTTCAGTGACGGAGTGGTCAGGAGGGGTGGGAGAGAGGGGAGGCTGGCAGTGGGGGATTGATTCCTACCACCTGTTCTCTTACGTCGAGGAAAACTGTCCAGTGTGACCAGCTCAGCAGACAGGGCTGGTGGGTCAAAGCCTTGGTCGCAGAGACGGATTCGCCTGTGCTGGGACCGGGAAATCCTCGGCCAGGAAATGCCAGAGGAAGCACTCGGTTATCTTTATAAAGCCAAGGTCTGCGGCTCTCAGCTGGGTGGTTCATAGATTTGAAGAAAGGTTCCCCAGGGATTATTCCTTTTTAAATAAAATGTTTGCAGAGAGGATGAGGCGCAGGGAGTCCAGGTCCCTTCCTGATCAAAGCCGGGGGCGTAGGTGGCAAAGTTGATAGAAACCATCACCTGGACGGAGTCCCCGTTTCGCAATCTGTTGTCAGCTGAGCCTCACACCTGGTGCTAAAGAGGATTTTTTGGGCCTTTGCCACAGTTTGGAAGCATTTCAATCCATTAGTCACCTTTTATGTGTTAAAATTTTAATTTGGCTTCTATCCTTTTAGCACCTGTGGGCTTTATTTTTGCAATAAGGTCTTTCCAAGGGCTTTTTGTCCAATAAATGCCCAGCCATTTACATTTTCATCACCAGTCAGCTAAGACGATATCCTATCAAAATATGCTACAATCGAAAAATCCTTGCTTTTAAACATCCCCTTCTCTTTCTCCCTGATTACAAATGTAACAGTTTTTTACGGTGGAACCATAAACATACCAATAAGTGAAATGAAAAAGAGAATCTGTAACGCTCCTCAGATACAACTACGTTCTTTCACTTTTAACAAACAGCCTTTCCTGCTTTTATCTAGGAGCATACACGTGTGTAAACAATAAAACACTGGAAGAAATGCGATCATGATAAACATTGTTTTGAAATGTGCTTTTTTGTTTTTTCTGTACTTCATATATCATAAAACATTTTCCAAGCGATCAGCATCCAGCACATACAGCTAGAACATCTTGTTTAAATCTGCACAGCAGCTGGCCCTCTCAATACAGGAGAACTGAGTTCCCTTCCAGTGACGGCCCCTTCAAACTTCCTCTGTATACGATACTGAAATAAATACCCCTGCACGCGCCTTGGCATACTTGTCCAGTTTTTACTTAGAATTGATTCTTGTAACTGTAATTGCAGGCTACAAGGGCATATACATTTGGAAGGCATTTGAAATATCTTTTCTCCAAGAAGAATGTAACAATTTGTATTTCACCCATAGAGTGTGATATTCCCACCTTCTCCACACCAAGTCTAACAGTAGGCAGGAGCCTTTTGAATTTACAAGGGGGGTGGGGGGGTGGGGGAGAGTTCCTTGTTTTAATTTGCATGGCTTCAAATACTGTGATTTGAATGATTTTTACGTTTCACCAAAAACGTCTTAGCTGACTGGTGATGAAAATGTAAATGGCTATTTTGTCTCTTCATGAGGGGAATAGGAGAAGTCATTTGTTCATGACACTGTTTTGGGTGTTAACTCTTCGTTGTAAATTTGACAACTGCAGCCTCCCCTTTTGCGTTAATATGTACATACAGTTTCTCTTTCCCTGGGAAATCTTTGCATGTTTCTGTAGTCACATCCATCTATTTTATGTGTATGATTTCTGTCTTTGGTATGAGCCTTGGAAGGAACTTCTCGCATCCAAAATAATATAATTGCTCAACTGTATTTTCTCCGGGCACTTTTATGACCTCACTTCCTGCAACATCCCACTCACCCAAACTGTCTGAGATGTATTTAATTTGGAAATAATTCACATTTAATGGGTCTCAGCGATAGTTGAGAGCTTGAAGGAGAGAGATTGCTAAAAGACTCCAAGTAAATGTCAACATGACAACAACAAAAAAAACTGAAGATTTAAAAAGGGCCGGTCGGCAGAGCAAATAAATCTAGATTCAATCATCATTTTATTCTTAGTAAGGCAAACGTTAGGATCTCCGTATGTGTACTTATTTACGTAGGCAGGCCCCAGCCCAGAAAGGGTTAGAGGGGGCAGCGTATTTCTGTTGCTCTGCTCTTTGCCTTTGATTTTCTCTGGTCCTGACTCTTCCTGAGCTTCTGCGGTTATTCGTCTTTCTTCCTGCTGTCGTCTTTACCTCTCTCTCCCCATCAGGACTGTGGACTGGGTTGGGTAAGCTGTGTGGCTTTCCTCAAACCTCTAAGTCTCTCTCAGCATCAATTTTTCCCAGCCATAAAAAAGGAGGTTGGGCTAGGTGAAGTGTCTGGCCTTCCAACTCTAAATTACTCTGCTCTGTGATGTACAACCTCTCCCTCGGTGCTTCTATGTCTCCGTCTCTACAGTTCAGTGAATTACTCTCAGTTTCCTTCTCTCTTCCTTTCCCCTCATTGCACAGCTGCCTGACTTCCCCCCTTCTCTTAATTGACCGTAACATCTGACTGCAGTCTAATTTGTATTTGTTGCCTCCGTTAAATAAAGTTTTGTCCTCTCTTTTCTTAATTTATAAAGCAGATAAGTGGGATGCCATTTCTCTCTCTCAAAAGAAAAAACGGAATAAATTATGCTCCTTTCTTACTTAGATGGGCCCTGATTTATTAAATCGGTCAGTGAGCTGGAAAGTACTTTACTGATCGAGTCGATATGAAGAAAAATCTTTTGCGCTGAAAATGGTCGTTATATATTATGCAAAGGATGTTAATGCACTAGAACCAGTGATGATTATGTGAGCTCCGCTCGGGTGCTCTACAGAAATCTTTCTTGATGACAAACGTCCTAAGTTTAAACTGCAGGTCTGCAAGCCAAGAAGGCTCCTTAACCTTTGTTGATGATAAAGTCAACATGTTGTCGTTGGAGAGAACCTCCGTCACACGAGGGCTTCACGCACATTCGTCAGGCCTGTGGTAGTGATCTAAGGGGAGACTGGGCTTAATTTGCAAATCATTTTTCATGGGAAATGCTATGCAAGTATTGCAATTAAAGATCAATTATGAAAATTTTGGAACCGCCCATAATGAATCACATACCCTCAAAGGCACAGATAATGAAGGCAACCTCGTCAGGTGTTAAATCAAACAAAAAGGGTGGAATTCGTGATCCGGAGGAATTAGAAAAATGCACTGTTGTCACCTTCAGCAGCTGAACCGGGTTCCAGAGCCCCTTGGGGGCCACTCACCCCCCTGGGCAGGAGCCACACCAAAGCTCACACACTCAACCTAATGGACCCCTTCAGGACATATTTATTTCCCGCCTGCGGGGAGACGGGCCTGTGCCGGTTTTTGGAAGGAACTGTGAAACAGAACCCGCAAAGTCTTTGTTCTTGAGCCTGTACTCTTGCAGAGAGAAGGATAGTTAACAGTAGACTGGACGAGCCAGTCAAGCACACCGGGGGTTAGAAGGTGATGACCATGAAGGAGGAAGAACGCCGGGCAGGGTTTGGTGGGACCAGGAGCGGGGGTGGGTGGGGAGGTTATGATTTTGATGGGCTCCACTGAGAAAGTGACAGAAAGAGTATCCATCAGCGTCCGCCTGGGCGGAGGGCTCCGGAGGGCGGACGGAGGGACTACCCTGCAGGTGGGGGAAGTGGGCGGGGCGGGAGCGGAGGGGAGGATGGGGAGCTGTGGGAGGCACAGAAAAGCCAGGACACCCCTCAGGGCATGCGTGTCAGGGGCTGGGGAAGGCATTTCTGACAAGAGGAAGATGA